CCTCGAGATAATGATTACAAACACGCGGAGGAGTAGGAGGGCGGGTAGAATCGCCGCGTTCTCCACTAATTCCAAGCAAAAGGGACCCGCTCCGCCCTATTCCACCTCTCCCCCAGCCAACCGCGACGTCGGCTCCCTGCAAGCCCGTTCAGTTGAATTGTTTCGACGGCACACATAGGCTCACATAGAGACGCATAGACTCGCATTGAACCCCATAGGCTCACATAGAGACCCATAGAGTCGCATAGAAACACATAGGCTCACATAGAGACCCATCGACTCGCATAGAAACCCATAGGCTCACATAGAGACTCAAAGACTCGCATATAAACCCATAGGCTCACATAGAGACCCATAGACTCGCATAGAAACCCATAGGCTCACATAGAGACCCATAGACTCGCATTGAACCCCATAGGCTCACATAGAGATCCATAGAGTCGCATAAAAACACATAGGCTCACATAGAAACCCATCGACTCGCATATAAACCCATAGGCTCACATAGAGACTCAAAGACTCGCATAGAAACCCATAGGCTCACATAGAGACCCATATACTCGTTTTGAAACCCATAGGCTCACATAGAGACCCATCGACTCGCATAGAAACCCATAGGCTCATATAGAGACCCATAGACTCGTATTGAAACCCATAGGCTCACATAGAGACCCATAGACTCGCATAGAAACACATAGGCTCACATAGAGACCCATCGACTTGCATAGAAACCCATAGGCTCACATAGAGACTCAAAGACTTGCATAGAAACACATAGGCTCACATAGAGATCCATCGACTCGCATAAAAACACATAGGCTCACATAGAGACTCAAAGACTTGCATAGAAACCCATAGGCTCACATAGAAACCCATATACTCGTATTGAAACCCATAGGCTCACATAGAGACCCATAGACTCGCATAGAAACCCATAGGCTCACATAGAGACCCATAGACTCGTATTGAAACCCATAGGCTCACATAGAGACCCATAGACTCGCATAGAAACCCATAGGCTCACATAGAGACCCATAGACTTGCATAGAAACCCATAGGCTCACATAGAGACCCATAACTCGCATAGAAACACATAGGCTCACATAGAGACCCATAGACTCGCATAGAAACCCATAGGCTCACATAGAGACCCATAGACTTGCATAGAAACCCATAGGCTAACATAGAGACCCATAGACTCGCATAGAAACCCATAGGCTCACATAGAGACTCATAGACTCGCATTGAAACCCATAGGCTCACATAGAGACCCATAGACTCGCATAGAAACACATAGGCTCACATAGAGACCCATAGACTTGCATAGAAACCCATAGGCTCACATAGAGACCCATAGACTCGCATAGAAACACATAGGCTCACATAGAGACCCATAGACTCGCATAGAAACCCATAGGCTCACATAGAGACCCATAGACTTGCATAGAAACCCATAGGCTAACATAGAGACCCATAGACTCGCATAGAAACCCATAGGCTCACATAGAGACTCATAGACTCGCATTGAAACCCATAGGCTCACATAGAGACCCATCGACTCGCATATAAACCCATAGGCTCACATAGAGACCCATAGACTCGCATAGAAACCCATAGGCTCACATAGAGACCCACAGACGCACATATACAACCATAGTATCACATATAAACCCTCACATATAGACTCACAGGCGTACGTACGTACATACATGTACGTATGTTGAACTTCTTTCGCGCCCTACGTAAACAAACAGACTCTTAGTCTCACGAAGACACACGTGACTGCCGCTCCGCGGAATAATTCAATATCTCTATTGCCTCTGCACAGAGCTTTGAGATGCATTATGTTTGAACGGACGAATCCAGGGCCCTATCGCCTATTGTTGAGTGGCTCGTTTTTGCTGGACACAGAGTCGGCGAGGCACCGACGACAGAGATCAGTTCCACTCCCCCCCCCACCCAGCGATGAGAGGTGTTTCTTTTTTTCGGGGGAAGTTCAAACTCGCTCTTCCAACGTCCTGGCAACCACAGCATGCACACAAGTCCCGTTTGTATTCGGCTGTTTCAAACACACAAAGGCACCTACAGCTTTCCGAGTGGCTCAGCAGGGAGGGGGTGCGAGGCGGTGTGAGGGGGAGCGTGAAGCGAGAAGGGGGGGGGGGGCGAGGGGGGGTTTCATAATGACCATGTCAGACAAAAAATCAATCGAGCCGGGGTGAAATCCAATTCCGATCGGCCGGGTTCGCAGCGCAGTGTGCTAACCGCGGCGATACCGCTCCCTGTCATACAAAGACAAAGATCCTCCATATAGCCTCAACAAACTATTGGGTCAAGTGCTGTTAGCGAGCACCTATGAAGACCGGCACGGCACACAAGGGGGTGGGTGGCCAGCACCACGCCCCACCATCTTTGTCTCTTTCGCTGCTGGTGTTTAATACCACACCGCAACCGGCACTCATTTAAGGCTGAGTCGACCTACGGGAGGCCCACGACCGGTTACAACATCCGCCACCGTTATCGGTCCGAGTTCGAAGCGCAGTGCGCTAACCATTGCGCCACCGCTCCCTATTGACCCCTCCCTGTGTACGAGAGACGCGCGCACGCAATCGGGCAACATGTTGCTCATGGGTCCCGAGTTAGATAATAATTGGGGACAGCAACACAAAGGCACCTCGAGTCCCCGTGACTCGTGACAGCGCTGGGCGTAATGAGCGAGGTCACTGTGTCTCCACGCTCCACTGGCCCCTGCAGCATCGCTCGTCACGTGCTGCGAACGAGCGGTTGTTATGAACGCATACATTCCACGTTCCGTCGACGGGGCCGAGTTCAGGGATTTCCCACCGAGCGCACTGTGGTGCAGCCTCGCCATGTGGTAATCAGTTTACCGCCCCCGCCGGCCCCACTCCCGTGTCGGGAATGATCTTGGGATCTCATCCCGCTGTTTCTGCACACACATCAGCAGCGGGGGCAGCAGTAACCAAGCACCATCCTGCACCTTCAAGCAGCAGCTCAGGACTATCACCTGTCCATGCTCTCACCTGTTCAGGCCCTCACCTGTCCAAGTACTCACCTGTTCAGGCACTCACCTGGTTCAGGCTGAGCTCATTATACTTTTTTATGATCTCGCCTTACATTGTACTGTCAAGAAAACAATGTGTTCATAGCAAATATTTAGTGAAACTGCTGCTGGTCTTAAAAAACAAATCTAATCCGTGACGTTTCGGACAACGACAGCACATGTGTTATGACGAGTCTGCTGAGTTTTTTGTTTGTTTGCAATAACATAGAGTACGAGCATCCCCTTTGTTGTAGTGGTAGTGCCTTACGCCGATAATATCTTCACCCCGTGGCAGCCTAGCAGCGATCGGGAAAAAATTGAGTGAGGAATGAAACCTTGGGTATGTATATTCTTGGTTCTTTCGGTAAAGTCACCTAGAAGGGAAATTATAAAATAAAATAAATAAATAAAAAATAAAAAATTTATTTTATTATTTCCCTTCTACGTGACTTTACCGAAAGAACCAAGAATATGAATCCCTGCAGTCACGAAAGCTTTAAATCAAAACTTGGGTATGTGTATGTACTAGTTGTGTGTGTGTGTGAATGATATGAGATCACACACTCCCATATATAGTGCAGCGGTTATCTAGCGCAGCTGCCACACGAACCCAGCCACCCAAGTTCTATTCCCGCTCACGGTCAACACCAGTGACGATTATTGAAACCGGCCCTGGGTCTCCCCTAGGTCGGGTCAGTCTCAAATGAGTAGCTGGTGCGCGTGTGAAAATATCGGCAACTGGGGAGACAAAGGCGGCCGGGCGTGGTGTTGGCCATCTGCTCGTTCACAGCACCTGCCCCAACAGTCTGTTAAAGCGTATAGGGGGCATCTTTGTGTATGATATCTGTATGTGTGTGGGGTTCGGTTTGCATCATATTAAAATGCATTTAATCACCATCGTTCTGCGAGATTCCAAATAATGTAACTTTACTCCGCTGCTGCTCAAACTTCTGCGTCAGCTATCGCTCGATCGAACGTATTCCCCGTCTCTAATTTTATATATACACACACACACACTTGATATATAATGATATAATTATATATATACAGTACACACTCGCTTAAAGCTATAACAGATTATATACTAAAATACGGAGATGTTTATTTCTTTTGCGTGGGATTGGTGGGTCCCAAGTCGATAGTTTTGGATCCGTTCGGGGAAAGGGGCTGACGGGTGTAGAGAGGATCGAGGGCGAGTTGGGGCTGTGTGCGGCAGTGGGTCGGGGTAAGGAGTTGCGGGGCTTGGTGGGGGCTGAGTGGGGATTAGCACGGTTGGCTACGTACGGTACGAAAGAAGTTCAACATACGTACATACAAGGCGCATAAACCATCACGCAAACTCCGGTGATCCTAGCAGCAGCAGCAAGATCAGCGGGTTTTGGCTAACCATCGAACAAAGACCACATCGCGCCCTTTAAGATGCGCTTCTGCGGCCGTCTGGAACGCTCTTCCTTCCGATATTAGGAGACCACTGGGAGCTATGCACTTTTAAATCATCTCGATTGAAAACGAATTTCTTCAAAACTGATTTTTTTTTGGTCTTTAGGTCATCGTCCTTCCACCGCTCCTCCGACTAGCGCCGTCGGCTACGTACGGTGCGACCAAAGTTCAACATTCACGTACATACATCAGCGCGCCACGCTACGAACCTGGCCACTCGGGTTCGATTCGCGCGTCCGACACCAGCAACAATGATCTGAAGAGGTCTTGGGCCTCCCTTAGGTGGCCTCAGCCTTAGAATGAGTACCTGGTGCAATGTGTAAATATCGCCATGTGTTGGAGGCCGTGGTGTTGGCCACAATTCCCTTAAGTGTGCCGAGGCGGCCTTCATAGGTGCTCGCTAACAACAGGGGAGGGGAGGGAGGGGAGGGGGAGGTTTTTCTTTGTCTTTGGGGGGTGTGGGTGGATGGAAATGTTCCTGAAGGATCAGTTTCGCGTGCACCTCGTTTTGTTGTTGTTGCTGCTGCTGCTGGAGCCGATCCGTGGGCCGCCAGCAATTGCCTCCCCCCTCCCCTCAAGGGATGAGACTTCTTGTAACCTGCAGCACTTATTTGTTCGCTTCACGGTTGCGTGCAGTGAGAACGGGGCCCGGTGCTCGCGCCAGCTGCTGCCGCAGCAGCTTTTGCTCTGCACGGCTCCGACCATCGGGAGTGGGTGGGTGGGTGGGTGGAACACGCATCGAATGAAATTGTATATTACTTTATTTTTTTCGGGTGGTTGATATTAAAACAGATTTTTTTTTACATATATAACAATATGTTGGTGCGGTTGAGAGAGAGGTGGGGGGCGGGGAGGGTTTGAGATTTTATTTTTTTAATAATAAGTATGAAATCGAGTATGACCCGTTGGCAGGCGCGCGCGGGTCCCAGGGGCGATTTAATAAATTTGCATTGGGAGAGTTGCGCAAAAGCAAAGTTCACGAAACGCGACCTCGCTCCCCAGCCCCACGTCTCTCTCGTCCCCTGACAGCTGACTCGGGAAAATCAGAAAGAGAAGTTGCAGACGCGGCCTGTTCCAATTCTTCACGGACTTACAGTCTTGAAGAAATTTGTCAATAATAAGAGCAATGAAGCGTGATGCCCCCCCCCCCCACTCCAAATGTCTTTGCGTGGCGCCTGTAAGAGAGAAAACCCCGACGATGACGGCGCAGCATATAAGAGATTGGTGCCAGAAATATATGGCCACTACTTGGGTACAAGACAGAGGAAATTGTACGAAATGAGCAGTGGATACCTACGGCCTATCAGCCCACGGATCGTGATGCCGATGATGTGACGTCGTAGGTGTGAGACCTACTCAGGCCAGGCGCCTGTGGGATACTGGTCATGCAGGGTAGATGGTCTTGGAGGTCCCTGCATGTGCTACTCTACCGCTCCCCGCTACAAAGACAATGATCCCCTATACATCCTTAACAGACTGAAGAGGAAAGTGCTGTGAGCGAGCACCTATTAAGGCCATCACGGCACACGAGGTGGTGGGTGGCCAACACCACGCCCGGCCGCCTTTGTCTGCCGAGTGGCGAAGTTTACACATCGCACCAGGTACTCATTTGAGGCTGAGTCGATCTTGGGGAGGCCCTGGACCGCATCAAAAGTTCTCCATTCGTATTGTTCATGAGCAGGAGTCTAACTCGGGTAGCCAGTGTCGGATCACAATGCGCTAACCACTGCGCCATCACTCCCCACTTACATACAAAGCCTCCCCCGTGGAGCCTATACAAACTGTTGGGGCATAATTCCCGGTGCATAACACACACACACACACGCGTATACACACGACTTATAATAAAAAAAAATCAGTTCTGTATAAACACACAACTTGACAGGAGGATAAATATGCTGCAGAAATTGCACGTCTCTTCCTATTTGAAACACTGCGGTCAAACTGCCCCAGAAAATTGCTCTCCACAGAATTGGTCTCCCAGACGAACCATATCGTTTCATCCACACGGTGTTCAACCACCACCCAGCAGGTCACATCAACTTACTCACCCTCTCACGAACCCAATCAGTTACCCACCCACCCATTCAGTCACCCACCCACTCATTCACCCACCCACCCACTCACTCACCCACTCACCCACTCGGTCACCCACCCACTCAGTCACTCACCCACCCACTCACTCACCCACCCACCCACTCACTCACCCACTCACCCATTCAGTCACCCACCCACCCAGTCACCCACCCACCCACCCACTCGGTCACCCACCCACCCACTCACTCACCCACTCACCCACTCGGTCACCCACCCACTCAGTCACTCACCCACCCACTCACTCACCCACCCACCCACTCACTCACCCACTCACCCATTCAGTCACCCACCCACCCAGTCACCCACCCACCCACTCGGTCACCCACCCACTCACTCACCCACTCACCCACTCGGTCACCCACCCACTCAGTCACTCACCCACCCACTCACTCACCCACCCACCCACTCACTCACCCACTCACCCATTCAGTCACCCACCCACCCAGTCACCCACCCACCCACCCACTCGGTCACCCACCCACCCACTCACTCACCCACTCACCCATTCAGTCACCCACCCACCCAGTCACCCACCCACCCACCCACTCGGTCACCCACCCACTCAGTCACTCACCCACCCACTCACTCACCCACCCACCCACTCACTCACCCACTCACCCATTCAGTCACCCACCCACCCAGTCACCCACCCACCCACCCACTCGGTCACCCACCCACCCACTCACTCACCCACTCGGTCACCCACCCACTCAGTCACTCACCCACCCACTCACTCACCCACCCACCCACTCACTCACCCACTCACCCATTCAGTCACCCACCCACCCAGTCACCCACCCACCCACCAACAACAATACGTATGTTGAACTTCTATCGCACCGTACGTAGCCAAGCGTGCTCATCTGAGGTGCGGGGGAAGGACAACAAACTAAACTCAAATTGCAACAACAATTCATCACATTCGTCAATGACACTCTGCCGGGCATCAACGTGCAAAAAAGGTAAAAAAAAGTAAATAGGGGAAAACCTTTCGGGCAAACGACCCTCCTTCATAGTAGCATAGAGACATCAACATTACAGCGGGGTCACACTCGCCCCCCCGTGTTCTGCTGCTGGACATGTGGTTTTGATTCGGCGCCACGGAGCCGGGCTTGCGTTCCCCCCGCTCCCATTCACGATCGGCGTGCATGCACGAGAGTGGGGCGCGTGATGTGTTGATGCAGCGCGCGGGCTTGTCTATTAAACAGCGCCTCGTTGGCGTCTCGTAAATTACTGTCGGTGGAAGGTGGGCGCCAGGGAATTCAACACCCTCGCCCCTACGCCCTCGCCCCAGTGCCGGATTAAGCTAGTGCGGGGCCTCTAGCATATGTTACAAAGGGGCCCTAAATGTAAAAAAACACGTAAATATTAAAACATACATTTTTTTACTTGCATAGTAAAGTAATTGTATTTTTTAATTTGCTATACAACCAGATAATACGACAAATCGCTAACCTTAAACACCCAGTCGTTCATAAAAGTTGAAGACAGTATAGTACTATAGTAATAGAGCAAGTGCAGGGGCCCGTAGCATATGTAGCTACTTTTGCTCCTAGGATAATCCGGCACTGCCTCCCCCTTTCCATAACCCACCACCCCAACCACACAAACCACCCCAACCACCCGCTCGCCCTCCCAGGCCCACATCCCTACCCTTCACCTATAGTGAGAGCACCTATGTGTGTGTGCACCGCAATCATCGTGAAGGTCTCAGCCCCGTGTGAAGCCAACTGCCACGACGGAGAGGCCTCCCCAGACCGTGTCGGGTTGTGCGGCGTTATTTTGACCACACTTCACTCTGACGCTGGTCAGTGTGGGTTGGTTGCAATCGTGGGGGGGGGGGGGGGGTAGAACCAGCACGCCGGTGACGCTATCATTCGCCGCTGATGTTGACCGTGGCGTGGAATTGAACGCGGTGTAGTGCTGTAACGCTGCCCACTTGTGCCACCGCTCCAACGCCAATGCGTGCTACGATGATTGTACCCACAGGCAGCCCCCTCCTCCTGCCTGACGCCCGTCTGTTGTTGGCGAGAAACGCCGTGGGTGTCTGCGTCACTGGCTCGTTCACGCCACCGGAAACATTTCAAGTCCCAAGGTTCCGTTTAATTCACCAGAATAAATTTTTTTAAATGGGGATAATTAAAATGTCGAGGACAGTGTGGGTCAAAAAAAGTTTGATTCCATTATCGTAAAACGATTACTGGAATTTCCCAACAATAGTGACCCCCCCCCCCCCCAGATTATTTGAATTAATTCACGTAATAATTCGTCATATTATGGGGTTTACGCAGCAATTGGTGACTCGGCCGAGACCATCACCAAACTCTGGACATGTGAAAAAAAACGTTATAGCTCATCGGATTCCTCCAGTAAAAGTAAATATTCTTATTCCGAACTCGCTGCACCGAATAGGTCCGGATTGATGCCTCCGGGCAACGGAATCAATCCCGCAATCCAAACCCACAATTCTCAACTCTGCGAGCCTCAGCTTTCTCTGACCTCCCAGCCACCCCGCTCACCTCAGGAAGAAGGTCTGGCTGTTGTGTAACGCAATCGCAGCCATACGTTGGGAGGAGATTGGGGGGGTGGGGGAGAGAGCGGAGGGCGGGAGTGCGGGGTAGGGAATTTCTGATTAATAGCCACGCGCAAAAGTCGCGGGCATTCCTAGAGCAAGCGGGAGAGAAGGCTTTGATTGCCCATGGTGATTTGGCGGCAGCTGAAGACTGTTTGTGGCGCGTCTGGCGTAATAATCTTAGAGGTCCCAAAAAGTCAGGCGAGACGATAAATCACCCCGTCCGGTTTAACACACACAAAAAAAAACAATAATGCAGAGGCACAGCTCCGACATTTCTAAGAAAATGTTTTCTCCGCGATTCGTCCGTGACAGCCGGAGATCGGAGCGGAGGTCCCTGAGGTCTGTGCGTGAGAAATGAAATCCCGGCCGCGACGCCCCGACGACTCTGCCTCGGCTGCGTCGAGGGCCGCGTGCTCCCCGCGATCGTTCACATCGGGAAAGTCATCCCGGAGTCGCGGGCCTCCTACGCAGTTGGTTGTTATTTTTCGCATTTTATAAAATATATGGCGCATGCACCCCCCCCCCCCCTCCACCACCCGGTGTCTGTAAACTTATTAATGTCACGTAGGTAAAAAAATTAAAATTAATAAAAGTTAAATAAAAATATTTTATTTAATTTTTATTTTATTTTTATTTTACTTTTATTAGTTTTAATTTTTTACCTACGTGACTTTACCGAAAAAACCTAAAAATATGAATCCTTGCAGTCACGAAAGCTTCAAATCTAGAATTATTCATATTTGGTCACAAAGACGAAGATCAATAATCTCCCCCGCACCCGTATAGCTTCAACAGACTGTTGGGGCAAGTGTCCATAATAGAGGTTTGTTAGGTTAGATCGCGTAAATGTATAAATGTGTCGTTAAAACCCGCCACCACCCGACACAGCCAACTAGTAAGGGTTGTCGTGTAAACCGAACGTGGCCAATTCGTCACTAGTACAGCACCGGTGTGTAGTGTAGTGTATAGTGTAGTGTAGTATATAGTGTAGTGTATAGCGTAGTGTATAGTGTAGTATACTAG